GGATGCTGTGAGGTGGGCACTGTGGTGGTGGTGGGCCGAAGGAGCTGTGGCAGAGTATGAGGGTGAGGTGGTACGTTGGGGAGGGAGAAGATTGAGGGGTCAGTTGGATGGCAGGTGTAATAAAGTCAGTGGAAGCTGCTTTGACAGAGTTGGGCACTGTGGTGTTGGGGGGGGGGGTTAGAAGCATTGTAATCAGAGAGGGAGGTGGATGGTTGAGTATGCTGTGAGGTAGGGAGTAAGTGCTGTGATGTGGAAGTGATTTGGGATGGAAGGCACAGTGGTGAAGGAGGTAAGGTAGCTGGCAGGCACAGGAGGTTGAAAAGTGCTGTAACCAGGGGGTTGAGGTCTGCTCTGTGGTGGGAGGGTGGTAAAGTGAGGAGGTTTGGAGGCAATGTGGGAGGGGTTTGGTGGTTGGAAGGTGCTTTGATGGGTGAAGTGGGTTTAAGCCACTGTAAAGGAAATTTCTACCGACTCCAGTCAGCAAGGCCGGGGGGCACATTTGCAGGACATCTGGATTTGGGACAGATGGAAATTTAATGCTTGCAACATAGTGGGCTGAGGGCAGAGTATCTAGCTCTTTGCTCGTTGGTCTCCTAACATTCATGAGAAGATCATTCTGCTTCAGATAGACAAACTCATATGTGCAGTATCGGGGAGGCACAAGGAGTCATACTTAAATGAGAGAAGTACAACCCATTATGGAATGGGCCCAACAGAATGTAACCAGGCAGAAAGTGGTTTACACGTCAGCAACCTAGACCCACTTGGCGGACAACCTCAGCAGATCATTTATCGACAACGAGCGGTCCTTGAATCAGAAAGTCTATGAAGAAATCACTAGACTCTGGAAGTGGACTTGGTGGCATCTCTTCAGAACGTCAAGTACCCTGACTACATAGCCAAACATTTCAGCGGAGGAGGTGGAATTTCTTTACCACCCATGGTGCTTCAGCCTGGCCCGATAGGAGTCCATTGATCTTCACATGTTAAATGTGTCACATGTCCTTATTAGACCAGTTTGCCAAACATGCCTCCAACATTCTATATCAGTTAGATGATAGTGATTCCGATCCTGTTTTCCTCAGAGGACGGTCTCTATCCTTTGGACACAAGCTAGGTTCTGAAGACGCATCTCAAAGTCAAATGACCCTTTAGGGCATACCACACGGCATAAGTCAGGGGCAGCCGGCATCGATCGGGGCAATTTCCTCCTGGATAGTTAGAACAATTCAGAAAGCATTTACATCTCAAGAGCTATCTGTTCGGAGGATGGAAGGACTGTGGTGACCTCATGAGTAGTTGCGCAATACCTTTGGTTAGAGATTATATGCAAATTGGCAACTTGGACAACAGCAATCAATTTTATTTCTCTTTATAAAATTGACCCGGCCTGTCGGACCACAGCAGCGTTTAGCAGGACAGTCCTACAGACTAGGACAGCCCTACAGATCCATCTGCGTATAGAATGAAAGATGATGACTCCACTTACAATGCATTCTGCTTTTTGATGTATGAATGAGCTGGCCCCTCCAGTGCTGTCCTGGATATTCGCAGTTAGGTCGGCTCCTTTCCCTAGCAGGATTCAATGGAGCCATGCTTTCGTGGATTGTGCTACAACTACAACGGGGACGAGCCATATAATGCATACACATCCAGTTCTATGGGGTTGAGGGGCGCAGAGCCACAACCCATCTTATCCTGCCTTGAGGATGCACCAGGAAAGGAAATTACGGGAAGGTAAGTGTACAATTTTTTTTTTGTCTGTGCCTCTCAATTTTCTTGTGACCGTTGTCTTCAGGATAGAAACTGATGGGAGATTCCAAAAGATTAGAGGAAAACTTCCATTGAGGATATTTGTTCCAGTGAGGGAGGGGATATCCCTTGACTTCCTGTTATATCTCCAGGGCAGGAAGTGAAAGAGGTTTTACTCTTCTCCCGCTGTCCAAAACTGCCGGAAATGTCTGTAGCTATGACATGTAACAGATACAATTCAGTGACGAGAAATAAGCACACAGGTTTTCTGGGGTACAGAGCTTTATTTGGCGTTGTGTACAACTTTCTAGTCTTTCAATAGAGAAGGCAAACCTTTCATTGTGTTGACATAATGAGATAAAGTAGATGCAAACCTGAAGTGATTGACATTTCATTTGCTACAGCCCGTGGTATCATAATCAAGCAGGCCCCACCCACTACCGGATGCCGGTAGAAAACTATCAGAGGGGGTGGAGACAGGACCAATAGCCCTGCACAAGGAGACAGAGCAGCAGTGAGCAGTCTTTATTACAGGAGTGGGCAGAGACAAGAGCAGTCACCCTGCACAAGAAGGGAGAGCAGCAGTGAGCAGTCTTTTTTTACCGGAGGGGGAGGAGACAAGACCAGTCAACCAGCACAAGGAGAGAGAGCAGCAGTGAGTGGTCTTTATTACAGGATGGAGCGGAGACAAGTCCAGTCACCCTGCACAAGTGGTCAGAGCAGCAGTGAGCGGTCTTTATTACAGGAGGGGGGCGGAGAAAAGACCAGTCACCCTGCACAAGGAGAGAGAGCAGAAGTAACCAGTCTTTATTACAGGAGGGGGCGGAGACAAGACCAGTAATCCTGCACGAGCAGCAGTGACTGTTCTTTATTACAGGAGGGGGCCGAGACAAGACCAGTAACCCTGCACAAGCAGAGAGAGCAGCAGTGAGCAGTCTTTTTTTACCGGAGAGGACGGAGACAAGACCAGTCACCCTGCACAAGAAGGGAGAGCAGCAGTGACCGGTCTTTATTACAGGAGGGGGTGGAGACAAGACCAGTCACCCTGCACAAGGAGAGAGAGCAGCAGTGACCGGTCTTTATTACAGGAGGGGGCGGAGAAAAGATCAGTCACCCTGCACAAGGAAAGGGAGCTGAAGTGACCGGTCCTTATTACAGGAAGCTCCAAGTATCACACCGGATTACTGCACAGATCTGGAGAAAATACACAAAGCTCACCAAGCTTCAAGGAAGAATACAAATGCCACTTGAAAGCAAAGTTTTCACCCTTGCAACAGTTCTTTGAAGTTGTTCCATGTTTGATGACATCAATGGTGAAGGCTGTTTTTTGTTCCAGCATGACTGTCCCCTGTGCGCAAAGCCTGTCCCCTGTGCGCAAAGCCAGCTCCATAAAGACATGGGTTTGACCAGTTTGGTGTGGAGGAACTGAGGTGGCCTTCACACAGCCCTGGCCTCAACCCTACTGAACACCTTCAGGATGAATTGGAACACTGGTTGCAAGCTTGGTCTTCTCGGTCTTGATCCTTTGCCTGAATGGTCACAATTCCCACAGGGACACACTCAAACATTTTATGGGGAGTGTTCCTTAAAGAATGCCCATGGTTGTGGAATGGGATGACCAGCAAGCTGATTGGTTAGATGCCCACAAACCTTTGGCCACATAGTGTGCCTCCAAAACATTGTCCAGAGCCCTACGAAGTTGGCATCCAGCCATTGTGTATTGTCTTATGATACATGAGACAGCCCCTCCATGGAAATGACTTGCCACAGTCAGAACATGTGAAGGCCGTCTCATTGGTCTGGTTGGACTGGTGTCTGACGAAGCTTCCTTTGTTCGGAAAATACCTCCCACACTCAGAACACGAATAGGGCGCCTCGGCTATGTGAAATCTTTGGTGACTGAAAAGTTCGACTTTGCGGTTGAAGCACTGGCCACAGTCAGGGCATGGGTAGGGCTTGAAGTTCACACCTGGATGAGTTTTCCAGTGCAACATTAGAGCTGCCTTCAGCCTAAAACGCTTCCCGCACTCGGAGCAAAGGAATGGACGTTCCCCCGTGTGAATTCTCTCATGCTCGATAAGGCTTCTCCTCACGGTAAACTTTTTCCCGCACTTTGAACAGGTGCACGGTTTCTCTCTGTGGTACTTTTGATGGGCGGTAAACCTCGATTTCTCGGCAAAGCTTTTCCCGCATTCAGCACACGAAAAAGGCTTCTCTCCGGAGTGGATCAGTTGGTGTTTGAGCAGGTAGGACTCCTGGGAAAAGCTCTTCCAACATTCGGAACATGTGAAGACCTTCTTACCAGCGTGCACCCTCTGATGACTAATGAGGTAGGACTCCTTCGTGAAGGTCCCACCACACTCCGCACACGTGTACACTTGCTCCGTGTGAACCTTTTTGTGAAACTCTAGGGCGGATTGGTCTCGGAAACATTTCCCACACTCGGAGCATGAGTTTTGCTTCTCAGTTTTGTGGTTGATTTCATGCACCATGAGCTTTGCTCTCTCGTTGAAGACTTTGCCACATTCACAGCAAGGATACGTCTTCTCCACGATGTGAGTCCTCTGGTGGGTGAGAAGTTCTGCTCTCTTACTAAAGCTCTCACTACACTCAGAACATGGAAAGGTTTCATCTTCTTTGCCAGTCGCATGATGAGGAACAGGGCAGGAACCACCTTCAGAGCAACTCCCGTGTCCAGAGGGAACCTTTGGAGTAGCTAAGCCTTCTATAGAGGAATCAGACGTGACTTCAACATCTTCAGTTTTCCCACATGGAGAGATGACGGAACATCTATTGCTGTTGCACCTTCTGTATTGTCCATCTGAAGAGAAAGAGAAACAGAGGGTCATGGGGGTGAGTAAACAACACTCCAGGCGTGCCTAGTGAAGACTATAGCCTAATAAAGAGCATTAAAGGATTGGCGTTCACCTTTCTCTCCAGAACCAGTCAAAAATGGTTCGCTCTGGTCTTCTGTGTACAGAACTTCTCGGACCACCAAATCATCCTACACTATATGGACAAAACTTGTAGACGCATGACCATACCCAAGAACTTGTTGGACAACCCATTCCAAAACCATGGGCAGTAATATGGAATTGCCTCCCAACTCCTTGCAGCTATGAAAACCTTGCAGCCTCCTCCAAAGGCTTTCTACATGATGATAAAGTGTGTGTGTGTTGGACAAAAGAACACTTGTGAGGTCAGGTACTGATGTTGGATGAGAAGACCTTCTTCAATTCATCCCAAAGATGTTCAAGTCGGTGTGAGGTCAGGGCTCTGTACAGGACGCTTGGGTTCCTCTACACCAGCCTGGTCACACCATGTCTTTGTACACGGACAGTCATGGTGGAACAGAAAAGGGCCTTCACCAAACTGTTACCACAAGGTTGGAAGAGCACCATTGTCTACAATGTCTTTGTATGATAGAGTATTATCAGAACCTTCACTGGAGACACCTGAACTCATTTGGAGGGTTGCCCATATAGCGTATAGTTTTCTTTCAGGAGCACTTTAATGGAATGAACGTGCTGCAAACAGGGAATGCATTGTGGTTGGAATTATAAGAATGTGCAGAGAATCTTTACTGTATGTTCCTCACCTGTGCTGATCTCCATAGGAGCTCCCTCCTCTTTAATCCTCACATGTCCTTCTTCCTCCTCCTCTTTGACGTCTCTCTGAGAGTCTCCGGTGTCTCCTGGGTCTGTGGAGAAAGATGAGAGTGAAGCCCCCTGTACTGAGATGTATGAGAGACCCCAGAGAGTGTGTGTGGGGGGAGACTGGTCACGTCTCTTGGCTGGTAACACACAATGACATGATGTGAGGAGGAGAGCCGGAGTCTAATAGAGGCTGATGGCTCCTGACTCCCCCCACTAGACACATTCCGTCCCCCCATTACTGTCTACTGACAGAGGAGGGGGGAGAAGAAGAGATTGTTGTAGTGACTGAACAAGGAGAATCTGGGACTCTTTTCTGGATTTAGTGTTTATTCCTCACCTGTGCTGACCTCTGGAGAACGTTCCTCCTCCTTAGCCAGCTCATCATCCATCACATACGGCTCTTCTGCTTCCTCTTTAACTTCCAATTTAACAGTAATCAGATTTCCACCCTTAGGAACACAAAGTAATGAATATATTACATTTATTTACAAAAACTGTATGAAAAGGGCAAGGATTGGTTTCTCATTTCTGGATACCTGATAGTGCTGAGGGATCTCATGAGATTCCTCTATGGAATCCCGGGAATACAGAGGACGGGCCTGAGGGATCTCATGATGTTCCTGTGTGGAGTTCTGGGAATACAGTGGACGGGCCTGAGGGATCTCCTGATGTTCCTGTGTGGAATCCCGGGAATACAGAGGACGGGTCTGAGGGATCTCCTGATGTTCCTGTGTGGAATCCCGGGAATACAGAGGACGGGCCTGAGGGATCTCCTGATGTTCCTGTGTGGAATCCCGGGAATACAGAGGACGGGCCTGAGGGATCTCCTGATGTTCCTGTGTGGAATCCCGGGAATACAGAGGACGGGGACATCTCTCTGGGGTATTTCTGTTCCTGGATCCATCTGTAGGAAACACACACACTGACTGAATACATTGTTTCTATGTCTTTATATCAGAGGATGTGTGTATCTAGGGGGATCCTCAATACTCAAGAAATGAAAGTCTCCTCTTACCCGGTGATGTGAGGGGCGGCCGGTTCTCCATCATGACGTCCTTGTAGAGATCCCGGTGTCCTTCTAGATACTCCCACTCCTCCATGGAGAAATAGACAGAGACATCCTGACACCTTATAGGAACCTGACACACACAATGATAGTCACCATCCAGACACATCCCTTGTCTGTTCCTGGATCATGTCCCAGAATTCCCGGCACCGCTCACCTCTACCGTCAGCAGCTCTATGATCTTCTGGGTGACTTCTAGGATCTTCTTGTCCTGGTTGCTCTGGTGTATCAGGAAGGGGGACAGGGGATCATTGGACTCTTTCTTTATAGGTCCGTAATCCTACACAATGAAATACATATAGAACAGAAACTTGGCTACTTGTCCCATAATGCTTTTCATCTATCTGTGTTTTATGAATAGAGATAAGAGTGATGTCATGTGACCTCCCAGATTCCTCCTCACCTCTCCGGTCAGGTCTGTGTTTTATGAATAGAGATAAGAGTGATGTCATGTGACCTCCCAGAATCCTTCTCACCTCTCCGGTCAGCAGGTAGACGATCTCCAGGGTGAGGTTTAATATTCTCTCAGTTGTGTGACTCCGGTTGGCCTCCATCTGTACTGATGAGACCAGGAATGGAGTCTGCTTCTCTGCGGAGGAACCCACTGTGATGAAACCTCTGTCACAAATACAAATAAATCAATGTAGTACAATGGGTTAGAATACAGAATAACAAATCTGAGGACCTACATGAATAGACGGTGTCCTTGTTGGTGGCAGCATGCCCCTTCCCTGGTACAAGAAAAAATAGAATGGCGGTGCACTTGGCATGGGACATTCCAGGAGGTGGGGTGGACCCGTTCTGCTGATGGTGAGACACACAGCAAGTATGTCATAGGAGTCTCCCATATGATTCCCCTTCCCCTAGAGATGTCACCCCAGTTCTATAAGACCAAATACATACGAATGACACGGCTCACACACAGATATTGAGATTCACTCACCTGTGTAGTTCTCCATGTCAGTCACATGTGTTCAGTCTTAAAGTGATAATCCACCATCCTAAACACAACCAAGCCTGTACCTTACCTCCACACTGTGCAGCTTCCTATTACAATAACCCAGATCCTGGGGGAGGACACACACAAAGTTCATATGAGCTGGATGTTATTCTACCTGATATCTTAGGCTACAACAAAATGGCCGCTGCCCACCCGACACACACTTTTGTTCTTTTTATAGGACAGAGAGAAATTATTGCATTGTTTTGACATAGTATTCTACATGTAATTGTTAGATAATCCACATATATAGGGTTATAAAAAAACAAACCTGTGAGCTAGAGAAAAAAATGACTGACAAAGGCTACGACAAAATGGCCGCATCATTTCCTGCCCCTAGGATACCTCTTCCTCAACAAAGAGCGTTCGCCCTCTAGTGGTGGCTCTGTGAATGTGGAGGTTATCCAATCAGTGACAGAGGGCTTGGGGGGAGGAGCGTAATTCCGCTGTTCTGTCATTCATGTTGGGCGTCACTATGGTAACCAGGAAGTAGCCGGGACGCGGCCATAGAACGTACACACTACGCAGCGGAAGTGAGGGAGCCAGAGGGCGGAAGTGGGAGAAGTGTTGTTGGTATGGGCAATATTATTATTGGGGTGCTGAAATTATAGGTGGGCGCTGTTCAGGGCAGAAAAGAAGGGTGAAGGGCACTGGGGGGTCATCGAGTGAGTGTGCGGTGAAAGGATGGGGAGGGGGGCCTGAGTCTTCAGTCGGGGTGATGGCACAGGCATGTTGGGGGGCCCATGTGTTGTGCAGACTGGGAGTGATAGCAGGGAGAATGTACATAGGGTGCAGGCATGGTGGGGGAAGGGGAATGCACAGGTGAGGTGTTGACAATGTGAGTTGGGGAGGATCACATTGGTGTTGGGCCTGCAGGGGGTGCAAAAAGGGGGATGGCAGGGATCCCAACCTGAGAAAAGTAATTTCAGGGAGTTGCCCTCTGTCGTGTGGGTCGCTATGGCATGTAAGGGTGCTGGCTGTCACTGACATAGCTCAGCAGCGGCTGTGAAGATCACTGACACCTCACAGCCGCCACGGAGCTGTGACAGCCAGCAGCAGAAGAGGCCGGCGTTCGCGGTTAAGGAGGAGGAGGCGGGGCCCGCCTAAGAGCAACCCCGCCTCCTCTTACATCACTGGCCAGCGACCGTCGATAGAAGAGGAGGCGGGGCCCGGCGACCACGGAGTCGGACAGCGCTGACAGGTAAGAGGTGTGCAGCCCATCTGAGACCACTATAGAGAGTCTATGGCGGGCTCTGCAGGGTCACTCTCAGGTGGGCTCTGCAAGGGGCATAACTAGCAATCACGGGGGGCCCCATACAACATTTTGCTATGGGGCCCTGTGATTTTTAGTTACGATCCCGGGAATACAGAGGACGGGGACATCTCTCTGGGGTATTTCTGTTCCTGGATCCATCTGTAGGAAACACAAACACTGACTGAATACATTGTTTCTATGTCTTTATATCAGAGGATGTGTGTATCTAGGGGGATCCTCAATACTCAAGAAATGAAAGTCTCCTCTTACCCGGTGATGTGAGGGGCGGCCGGTTCTCCATCATGACGTCCTTGTAGAGATCCCGGTGTCCTTCTAGATACTCCCACTCCTCCATGGAGAAATAGACAGAGACATCCTGACACCTTATAGGAACCTGACACACACAATGATAGTCACCATCCAGACACATCCCTTGTCTGTTCCTGGATCATGTCCCAGAATTCCCGGCACCGCTCACCTCTACCGTCAGCAGCTCTATGATCTTCTGGGTGACTTCTAGGATCTTCTTGTCCTGGTTGCTCTGGTGTATCAGGAAGGGGGACAGGGGATCATTGGACTCTTTCTTTATAGGTCCGTAATCCTACACAATGAAATACATATAGAACAGAAACTTGGCTACTTGTCCCATAATGCTTTTCATCTATCTGTGTTTTATGAATAGAGATAAGAGTGATGTCATGTGACCTCCCAGATTCCTCCTCACCTCTCCGGTCAGGTCTGTGTTTTATGAATAGAGATAAGAGTGATGTCATGTGACCTCCCAGAATCCTTCTCACCTCTCCGGTCAGCAGGTAGACGATCTCCAGGGTGAGGTTTAATATTCTCTCAGTTGTGTGACTCCGGTTGGCCTCCATCTGTACTGATGAGACCAGGAATGGAGTCTGCTTCTCTGCGGAGGAACCCACTGTGATGAAACCTCTGTCACAAATACAAATAAATCAATGTAGTACAATGGGTTAGAATACAGAATAACAAATCTGAGGACCTACATGAATAGACGGTGTCCTTGTTGGTGGCAGCATGCCCCTTCCCTGGTACAAGAAAAAATAGAATGGCGGTGCACTTGGCATGGGACATTCCAGGAGGTGGGGTGGACCCGTTCTGCTGATGGTGAGACACACAGCAAGTATGTCATAGGAGTCTCCCATATGATTCCCCTTCCCCTAGAGATGTCACCCCAGTTCTATAAGACCAAATACATACGAATGACACGGCTCACACACAGATATTGAGATTCACTCACCTGTGTAGTTCTCCATGTCAGTCACATGTGTTCAGTCTTAAAGTGATAATCCACCATCCTAAACACAACCAAGCCTGTACCTTACCTCCACACTGTGCAGCTTCCTATTACAATAACCCAGATCCTGGGGGAGGACACACACAAAGTTCATATGAGCTGGATGTTATTCTACCTGATATCTTAGGCTACAACAAAATGGCCGCTGCCCACCCGACACACACTTTTGTTCTTTTTATAGGACAGAGAGAAATTATTGCATTGTTTTGACATAGTATTCTACATGTAATTGTTAGATAATCCACATATATAGGGTTATAAAAAAACAAACCTGTGAGCTAGAGAAAAAAATGACTGACAAAGGCTACGACAAAATGGCCGCATCATTTCCTGCCCCTAGGATACCTCTTCCTCAACAAAGAGCGTTCGCCCTCTAGTGGTGGCTCTGTGAATGTGGAGGTTATCCAATCAGTGACAGAGGGCTTGGGGGGAGGAGCGTAATTCCGCTGTTCTGTCATTCATGTTGGGCGTCACTATGGTAACCAGGAAGTAGCCGGGACGCGGCCATAGAACGTACACACTACGCAGCGGAAGTGAGGGAGCCAGAGGGCGGAAGTGGGAGAAGTGTTGTTGGTATGGGCAATATTATTATTGGGGTGCTGAAATTATAGGTGGGCGCTGTTCAGGGCAGAAAAGAAGGGTGAAGGGCACTGGGGGGTCATCGAGTGAGTGTGCGGTGAAAGGATGGGGAGGGGGGCCTGAGTCTTCAGTCGGGGTGATGGCACAGGCATGTTGGGGGGCCCATGTGTTGTGCAGACTGGGAGTGATAGCAGGGAGAATGTACATAGGGTGCAGGCATGGTGGGGGAAGGGGAATGCACAGGTGAGGTGTTGACAATGTGAGTTGGGGAGGATCACATTGGTGTTGGGCCTGCAGGGGGTGCAAAAAGGGGGATGGCAGGGATCCCAACCTGAGAAAAGTAATTTCAGGGAGTTGCCCTCTGTCGTGTGGGTCGCTATGGCATGTAAGGGTGCTGGCTGTCACTGACATAGCTCAGCAGCGGCTGTGAAGATCACTGACACCTCACAGCCGCCACGGAGCTGTGACAGCCAGCAGCAGAAGAGGCCGGCGTTCGCGGTTAAGGAGGAGGAGGCGGGGCCCGCCTAAGAGCAACCCCGCCTCCTCTTACATCACTGGCCAGCGACCGTCGATAGAAGAGGAGGCGGGGCCCGGCGACCACGGAGTCGGACAGCGCTGACAGGTAAGAGGTGTGCAGCCCATCTGAGACCACTATAGAGAGTCTATGGCGGGCTCTGCAGGGTCACTCTCAGGTGGGCTCTGCAAGGGGCATAACTAGCAATCACGGGGGGCCCCATACAACATTTTGCTATGGGGCCCTGTGATTTTTAGTTACGCCCCTGCTATGTACATATGGGTGACGGAAATAAAGCAGTGCACCTCATGCAAAGAAGTAAAAGCAAGACACGGAGACATGGGAAGAACTGGGAAAAAAAAGTCTTTATAACATTAGAAAATTTTTTTTTTTTTTAAAGCTGTTCCATAATTTCAAGGGTTTTGGTTAAATCCTCCTCCACTGCCGCCAACTCTTCTCTGATCGTCCGGATCCTGTGCCTGTAGCTGTGCAATGCAGCGCCGCAGAGTCGAGCTGTCCAACGGCAGTGCCGACTTTTGAGCTACATGTACCAAAAAAAAAAAAAATGGCAGTTTTTGTTTTAAATTATAAATATGTTTTTGAAAATCAAACAGTGCATACCAGAGGTTGTGGCGTCCTTCACATGTGCCTGAAAGGGAGGCTACAGCTCCCGGTATACTGAGACGCCGCAGCCGGGACGGATCCCGACAATTATGGCTGGATCCGCCCAGCTGCGTGAGTGACAGCTGGCTCTGCCTATCTAGAGGCAGAGCCAGCTGTACCCGCCCCCCCTCCGTTCCGCCAGTCAGCGCTGGAGGATCGGAGGGGGGAATCCAGTCCCTCCCCTGTCACAGCTCTCTGCAGGGACAGGATCGAGAAGTGAGCGAGCGACGGTATGTGTTCGCTCACTTCCCGATCTACTGAGCCGACCTGTGACAGTCTCATTGGCTCAGATTAAAATCACTCACCTCATAGTTCTCCTTTAATCTCTCTTACAGATCATTTTTGTTCCACCTTACTATTATTTATTTGTATTAATATAGTATGGCTATTTACCCTTCAGTCCCATCTACCTGATCCTCCTGAGGGATCTCATGATGTTTCTGTAAGGCAGTGGTTCTCAACCTTTGGGTTGCGACCTAAAAGTGGAGGGGGTCGCCACTTGTCTTGTGCTGTAAGAGGCTCCTCAGCCTCCTTCTAGCTCAGCAGTGCCAGTTCTCCTAGATGGCGGTGCAGCAGCGGTGGCCGGAGGAGGATCAGAGAGAGGGAGAGGGCAGGAGTGAGGGGAGGTGAGTGCTTGATCACCAAAGAGCCACACTGGGCATCACAAAGCCCACACTGGGTGCCACCAGAGAGTGGCACTAGTCACCTGAGAGCCCACACAGATACTAGTATTGGTGCATCCCTAAATGTTATTGTTGGGGGGTCAACACAACTTGGCAAATGTTACCAAGGGGTCCTGACCCTAGAACGGTTGAGAACCACTGCTGTAAAGAATCCCGGGAACACTGAGGATAGACCTGAGGGATCTCAAGGTAGTTCTCCACTGTATTACATAATACCTTTATTTTATGTACCTGACCATCCTGAGGGATCTCCTGATGTTCCTTTGTGGAATCCCGGGAAAACAGAGAATGGGCGTGAGGGATCTCCTGATGTTCCTGGGTGGAATCCCGGGAATACAGAGGAGGGGCCTGAGGGATCTCCTGATGGTCCTGTGTGGAGTCCGGGGAATATAGAGGACGGGCCTGAGGGATCTCCTGATGGTCCTGTGTGGAGTCCGGGGAATATAGAGGACGGGCCTGAGGGATCTCCTGATGGTCCTGTGTGGAGTCCGGGGAATATAGAGGACGGGCCTGAGGGATCTCCTGATGGTCCTGTGTGGAGTCCGGGGAATATAGAGGACGGGCCTGAGGGATCTCCTGATGGTCCTGTGTGGAGTCCCGGGAATACAGAAGACGGGTCTGAGGGATCTCATGATGTTCCTGTGTGAAATCCTGGGAATACAGAGAATGGTCCTGAGGGATCTCCTGATGTTCCTGTGTGGAGTCCCGGGAATACAGAGGATGGGCCTGAGGGATCTCATGATGTTCCTGTGTGGAGTCCGGGGAATATAGAGGACGGGCCTGAGGGATCTCCTGATGTTCCTGTTTGGAAACCCGGGAATACAGAGGACGGGGACATCTCTCTGGGGTATTTCTGTCACTGGATCCATCTGTAGGAAAACACACACACTGATTGTATGTCTTCATATCAGAGGATGTGTGTGTCTAGATGACCAGTAGTCAACTTACTAAATGTGAGGCATCCCTAAAAAAAAGCTGCACATATTATGCAGCATAAGCACTATTATCAAAGACTTTCAGAGACTAGGGAGATTCTACAATAGATGGTCAGAGACCGGGGACATGATAGGGACTGAAGACCGGTTGTAGGAGACAGTCAAAGACTGGGGACTAGTTAAGCTGGGTATACACCGGTAGATGTTTGAACGAAGGTTCGAAAAATCTGGGTTAGGACATTCAAGAACACCACCAGAGACTAGACAAATGCTGTTCTAAATTCAATTTGATTTTGACATTCGATTTCGGAAATGAATGGAGTTTCCTGAACCAAAACCACATACACCATTAGAATTTTGTTCCCGCCCCTTCAATTTTTCTGTTTTCAGTGCAGTTGAAAAGGATTATTGAGTTGACCCCATTAAGTACTAGGAAATCGAACGAATGTTCCATACACAACATTTTTCAAACAACGTTCTACTGGTGTATGACCAGCTTTACAAGAGGCCCCTGGAGACCACTACTATTACAACCCCTTTAAAAATCATTGGTCTCATATTTGTTCTCTCTACAACCCTCCTTAGAACTTATGATGTTACCCACAGCCTGGTCCAAACATAAAACATCACTGGGGAATGCATGTACAATGCTCCACACCTCCTGATTAGTGTGAGATCCATTGCAGAGTATGAAGAGATGTTCCCATGCCAAGGTTCACATGCCAGAGAGGAACCATGGGGAAAGTCCAGAAACACGTCTTATACTGTTCCAGGTCACTCACCAGAGATCTAGGGGGATCCTCAATACTCAGGAAATGAAAGTCTCCTCTTACCCGGTGATGTGAGGGGCGGCCGGTTCTCCATCACGACGTCCTTGTAGAGGTCCCGGTGTCCTTCTAGATACGTCCACTCCTCTATGAAGCATCCTTTTACGTGGGCACAAGAAAAGCTGATTAGCATGAAGGCGGCTCTTTTAATAACCCATAATGATAAAACAATAACATCTAGACGTCACAGTATTGAGCAATCACTCTAATACATGGGTGGCCAGACTTATTCACTGAGTAAGATCGCTTGATTTTGGGGAAGACCCCGGCCCCCCCATAACATAGCTTTGTTATACCAGAAGGATCTCCATTCCTCTTTAGAAAAGTTGATGTTGGGAATAATCGTGCCCTTTCCTATGGAGAGCCGTAGCCGGTGCTGTTGTGGTGGACTTACTTGCTTTATTACGTTATTGGGAACTGAATGGAGGAAGAGTGTGTGTGTGTGTGTGTGTATGTATGCTGCTTATACTCTGCACTGATCTGACCCCGCCTGGCTCTATCTGCCCCTGCCTGCTGCAATCCTCCACATCTGCCCCTGCTGAGACCCTCCACATCTGCCCCTGCTGAGACCCTCCACATCTGCCTCTGCTGTGATCTTCTGCTTTTGCGATACTCCACATCTGCCCTGCTGAGACCCTCCACATCTGCCCCTGCTGAGACCCTCCACATCTGCCCCTGCTGAGACCCTCTACATCTGCCCTGCTGAGACCCTCCACATCTACCCTGCTGTGATCCTCTGCATCTGCCCCTGCTGTTATCTTCTGCTTCTGCAATCCTCACATCTGCCCCCGCTGAGACCCTCCACATCTGCTCCTGCTGAGACCCTCCACATCTGCCCTGCTGAGACCCTCCACATCTGCCCTGCTGTGATCCTCTGCATCTGCCCCTGCTGTTAACTGCCCCTGCTGAGACCCACATATACCCTGCTGACACCCTCCACATCTGCCCCTGCTGACACCCTCCACATCTGCCCTGCTGACACCCTCCACATCTGTCCTGCTGACACCCTCCACACCTGTCCTGCTGACACCCTCCACACCTGTCCTGCTGACACCCTCCACACCTGTCCTGCTGACACCCTCCACATCTGCCCTGCTGAGACCCTCCACATCTGCCCCTTCTGTGATCCTCCACATCTGTCCCTGCAGGGACCCTCCACATCTGCCCCTGCTGTGATCTTCTGAGATCCTCCACATCTGCCCTGCTGAGACCCTCCACATCTGCCCCTGCTGAGACCCTCCACATCTGCCCTGCTGAGACCCTCCACATCTGCCCCTACTGTGATCCTTCACATCTGCCCCTGCTGCAATTTGCTACATTTGCCCCAGGTGCGATCCTTCACTTCTGCTGAGACCCTCCACATCTGCCCTGCTGAGACCCTCCCCATCTACCCCTGCTGAGACCCTCCACATCTGCCCCTACTGTGATCCTTCACATCTGCCCCTGCTGCAATTTGCTACATTTGCCCCAGGTGCGATCCTTCACTTCTGCTGAGACCCTCCACATCTGCCCTGCTGAGACCCTCCACATCTGCCCCTGCTGAGACCCTCTGCCCGAGACATCAGGCCGGCACCCTGGAGCAGAGCGGTAGCACAGAGTATGTAGCAAATTCATAAACTATTCTGCATTTTTGTATAATGTATTGCTGGGATTTGTAGTCCTCTATATCTGGTGGTATTCTGCATTGCTGTATTATATATTTCTGGGATTTGTAGTCCCTCTGCAGCTTGGAGTCAGTGGCAGAACTAGCAGGGTTGCAGCTGGGACCGGGCCCTGGCGCTCCATCACTGACCTAAAATCGTCTCTATTGTTATAGAAAAACTGTCACATGACACACACACACAAAAAAGAGAAAAAAAAGGTATCAGTAATTGGTAGCGGCGAGTCCTTGAGGAAAAGTATCCGTACTTGTACTTGGCCTGAAAAAATTGGTATCAGTGGATCTCTATTCCCGTCCATGGCCCGTACCGAGTTAGAGACATGTAGTAATATGGATGGGAGGCAGAGTTAATGGACCACAAGTGTGGTGCATAGGCAGCCGTCTGAGGGCATCGGGCGCAAAAATGCACCTTCGCCTGTGTAGGCAAAAATCCCTGCACCGACCCTGGTCACAGTTTTGAGTGGGCTTGGGTGAACTCAGACGAACTGGGTTTGCACCAAACCTAGGCTCTTCACTAATAATAAGAAAACATTATTACCTCTTACCACGCTCCAGCCTGAGAATGATACAAAAAAGTGTCATCAACCTTTACAAACGCCTCTGTCTTACTCTGGGCTACAAGAAAATGTCTGCCACCTTTTGGCTTAAAGAAAATATCTGGCACCTTTTGGCTAAAAGAAAATATCTGGCACCTTTTGGCTAAAAGAAAATGTCCACCACATCTTGGCTACAAGAAAATGTCCGCCACCCCCACGACTACAAGAAAATGTCCGCCACATGTCGGCTACAAGAAAATGTCCGCCACTTTTTGGCTACAAGAAAATGTCCACCACCTCTCGGCTACAAGAAAATGTCTACAACTGACGGCACTGCCTCCTCACACATGGCAGTGGTGACACAAGGAGAGCAACTGTCTACACTGGCGTATCCATAGTATCTAAGAAATCTTAACAGTTCTTGACAAAATTGACTAAAACTGATAAAATTTGGACAAACTGAAATGATTGAAAGTGTTTGTTTTTGTGTCCTCCCTGAAGCAGGGAGCCATTTTGCTGTAGACCAGAAGAGGAAGAAGTAATCGAGCCGAGAGGACTTCCTGATTTGGTGCTGAGCCAGGCAGCAAGGAGAAGGCAATGATCTCTTTTTATTATGACAGGAGGAAGAGAAACGTGGAAGAGTATCTGTAGACCAGGGTGTGTGTGTATGGGGAAGGGGGGGGGGGTGTTATGTGATTAGTCCATAGGGTTGTCACCTGTCCTGGGCTCAACGTCCGGGTTTGGAGTCCTGTATGTGCTCTTTCCAGGCCAGCTGAAACCCATACACAGCACATACAGGACTCAAAACCCGGACTGTCAACGGGAATCCGGGACAAGAGGCAACCCAATTAGTACAAGTAATCGGGGCTGTTTTGGTGCCACAGCTTCATAAGGTAAGTGTAATGCAGAAAGGGATTGGGTCAGTGTTGGGGTCAAGGGTCAGGGGATAAGAAGTTTCATCTCTTTAGGGTTAAAGGAGATCTATGAGGTGAGTGATTTTCACTCATCCTCATAGTGCGAGCTGACCTGTGACAATGAAACTGTCACACGTCGGCTCAATAGATCGGGAAGAGAGCGAACATCTCCCTGCAGAGAGCGGTGACTGTCACTCACGGCTCCCCGCAGGGATTCCCCCTCCCCGCTCCGATCTTCCAGCACTGACTGGAGGAACGGACGGGGGAGGGGGCGGGTGCAGCTGGCTCTCCCTCTAGATAGGCAGAGCCAGCTGTCACTCACGCAGCTGGGTGGATCTCCACAGCATTGTCGGGATCCGTCCCGGCTGCGGCGGTCTCAGTATACCGCCAGCTGTAGCTTGCGATATACTGAGCTTTGGGTGATGGGAGGACGGGTTTATGTCCTCCCGTGACCCTTAGGAGAACTATGGGGAAAAACACTTACCCCTATAGTTCTCCTTTAAGTTTTAGGTTAAGTGTCAAGCTAGTCACCCACAACTAAATGCGGCCGTTCAATCCTTGTTTGTTCTCGACATTGCCATCATATCGGTGGGCACTTGAGAGCCGGTGTACCACTTCCGATGGTCGGCAATCACTTTTTGTGAAAGCCGATCCATAAAAGCCTGGCGGAAATATCCGATCGATTGTCATTTGCCTTCTGCGGTGTGCTGTACGGTTGACCTCGTACGGTCTTTTCCTTGCAGCACCTACATTTCGACAAAAAAAAGAAAAAAATTGGTCTAGTAAGTAATCTTTCCATGCAGGGACGTAATCTCAGGACTCCAAGCAAGCGTCAAATCACATGGCTTCTTCTTTACAAGTTGTGCAGTGGACTGGACAAGTAGGTGATACTATAGTGATGGGATCTGGGGCTTGACAACTGAAGCTGGTCTAGATAGACTCTACTTATTTATTAGGCAGACCGATGAGGAAGCTGTCTTAGACAGTCCAGAGTCCAAGTCCATGAACAATCACTCAAGTTCAAACTCTCATTCTACAACTGTCTTCTTTTTATGATTTGGTTGTGACACGTTCTTCTCATTGAGGAACAACGTCCCGCTTGCTATAGAATGCTAACGTTTGCATCAGTTTTATTTCATTTTGATAATTTTCTGTATTGTAGCTGTGCAAACCAACATTTCCTAACTGGAAGTAGAAGTATTTAGAAGGACATAAGGACCTCTAGAAGGACGTCATGATGGAGAACCGGCCGCCCCTCACATCACCGGGTAAGAGGAGACTTTCATTTCTTGAGTATTGAGGATCTACCTACATACACACATCCTCTGATATAAAGACATAGAAACAATGTATTCAGTCAGTGTGTGTGTTTCCTACAGATGGATCCAGGAACAGAAATACCCCAGAGAGATGTCCCCGTCCTCTGTATTCCCGGGATTCCACACAGGAACATCAGGAGATCCCTCAGGAACATCAGGAGATCCCTCAGGCCCATCATCTGTATTCCCGGGATTCCACACAGGAACATCAGGAGATCCCTCAGGCCCATCATCTGTATTCCCGGGATTCCACACAGGAACATCAGAAGATCCCTCAGGACCAGGCCCGTCATCTGTATTCCCGGGATTCCACACAGGAACATCAGGAGATCCCTGAGGCCCGTCATCTGTATTCCCGGGATTCCACACAGGAACATCATGAGATCCCTCAGGAACATCAGGAGATCCCTCAGGCCCATCATCTGTATTCCCGGGATTCCACACAGGAACATCATGAGATCCCTCAGAAACATCAGGAGATACCTCAGAACAACCAGGTAGATGGAATGCAACTTCTTACAAATACTCATCCTTCAAAAGCTTTGGTCTTAGACAATAACTATAATTTATTGTTTTGTATCTGTTAGAATGAAAATCTGATAACTATTAAAGTTGAAGTGAAGGAGGAAGCAGAAGATCCGTCTGTGGGGGGTGATGAGCCGTGTAAGGAGGAGGAACGTTCTCCAGAGATCTGCACAGGTGAGGAATAAACACTAAATCCAGAGAAGAGTCCCAGATTCTCCTTGTTCAGTCACTACAACAATCTCTTCTTCTCCCCCCTCCTCTGTCAGTAGACAGTAATGGGGGGACGGAATGTGTTTAGTGGGGGGAGTCAGGAGCCATCAACCTCTATTAGTCTCCGGCTCTCCTCCTCTCATCATGTCATTGTGTGTTACCAGCCAAGGGACGTGACCAGTCTCCCCCCACACACACTCTCTGCGGTCTCTCATACATCTCAGTACAGTGGGCTTCACCTCATCTTTATTCACAGACACCGGAGACACTCGGAGAGACATCAAAGTTGAGGAGGAGGAAGAAGGACATGTAATTAAAGAGGAGGAAATTCCTATGGAGATCAGCTTAGGTGAGTCATACATTAAGTAGAGAACATTGCCACAGATGTTCTTGTTTGGAGGACATATTTCAATGGCTGTTTTCTCCTGTAGAGTGCTTTTGAATACTTACATCTAGTACATATTATTAATACTCTTATGTATCTAAATGTGTGTTCTACAGATGGATTCAATAACAGAAATACCCCAGAGAGATGTCCCTGTGCTTTCTATTCCAGGGAATCCACCCAGGAACATCAGGAGATCCCTCAGGATGGCCAGGTACATAAAATAAAGGTCTTATGAACTACAGTGGAAGATCTGTGCAATCTTAATTGATATAACAATGTAACTATTTTTAGTTTGCATGTGTATATCATGCTTTTTGTATTTTTTATGTTGTTCAGGATGGATATATGATTAATCCTGAAGTGAAGGAGGAAGCAGAGGATCAGTATGTGATGAATGCGTTGTGTAAGGAGGAGGAAATGCCTACAGAGAACAGCACAGGTGAGGAATAAACACTAAATCCAGAAAAGAGTCCCAGATTCTCCTTGTTCAGTCACTACAACAATCTCTTCTTCTCCCCTCCCCCTCCTCTGTCAGTAGACAGTAATGGGGGGGACGGAATGTGTCTAGTGGGGGGGAGTCAGGAGCCATCAGCCTCTATTAGACTCCGGCTCTCCTCCTCACATCATGTCATTGTGTGTTACCAGCCAAGAGACGTGACCAGTCCCCCCCCCACACACACTCTCTGGGGTCTCTCATACATCTCACTACGGGGGGCTTCACTCTCATCTTTATTCACAGACCCCGGAGACCCTCAGAGAGATGTCAAAGCTGAGAAGGAGGAAGAGGGATGTGTGAGGATCAAAAAGGAGGAAGAAGAATCCAACGTGAGGATTAAAGAGGAGGAAATCCCTGCAGAGATCAGCACAGGTGAGGAATACACACTAAATCCAGAAAAGAGTCCCAGATTCTCCTTGTTCAGTCACTACAACAATCTCTTCTTCTCCCCCCTCCTCTGTCAGTAGACAGTAATGGGGGGACGGAATGTGTCTAGTGGGGGGAGTCAGGAGCCATCAGCCTCTATTAGACTCCGGCTCTCCTCCTCACATCATGTCATTGTGTGTTACCAGCCAAGAGACGTGACCAGTGTCCCCCCACACACACTCTCTGGGGTCTCTCATACATCTCAGTACAGGGGGCTTCACTCATCTCTATTCACAGACTCCGGAGACACTCAGAGAGATGTCAAAGCTGAGAAGGAGGAAGAAGGACATGTGAGGATCAAAAAGGAAGAAGAAGGATCCAATGTGAGGATTAAAGAGGAGAAGGAAGGACATGCGAGGATCATAAAGGAGGAAGAAGAATCCAACGTGAGGATTAAAGAGGAGGAAATCCCTGCAGAGATCAGCACAGGTGAGGAATAAACACTAAACCCAGAGAAGAGTCCCAGATTCTCCTTGTTCAGTCACTACAACAATCTCTTCTTCTCCCCCCTCCTCTGTCAGTAGACAGTAATGGGGGGACGGAATGTGTCTAGTGGGGGGGTTCAGGAGCCATCAGCCTCTATTAGACTCCTCATATCATGTCATTGTGTGTTACCAGCCCAGAGATGTGACCAGTCTCCACCCCACACACACTCTCTGGGGTCTCTCATACATCTCAGTAGTACAGGGGGCTTCACTCTCATCTCTATTCACAGACTTGGGAGGCACCAGAGCCACTCAGAGAGATGTCAAAGCTGAGAAGGAGGAAGAGGGATGTGTGAGGATTAAAGAGGAGGAAGAAGAATCCAACATGAGGATTAAAGAGGAGAAGGAAGGACATGCGAGGATCAAAGAGGAGGAAATCCCTGCAGAGATCAGCACAGGTGAGTAATAAACACTAAATCCAGAAAAGAGTCCCAGATTCTCCTTGTTCAGTCACTTCAACAATCTCTTCTTCTCCCCCCTCCTCTGTCAGTAGACAGTAATGGGGGGACGGAATGTGTCTAGTGGGGGGAGTCAGGAGCCATCAGCCTCTATTAGACTCCGGCTCTCCTCCTCACATCATGTCATTAAGATGTGACCAGTCTTCCCCCACACACACTCTTTAACAGCTCATACTTTGGATTGTTCTTCTACATTGTCCTCATCCTCCAGGATGGTGTTTTAGGGAGTACAGATCTCCAAGGAGAGCCATGTTCTCTTTGAGGTTCACTCCGAGATGGAACCCTGATCTCTATCTTTGACTCTTCCTGTTCTTCTCCGTTTCTTATTTCCTCTAGATGGACGTGACATACGGGTGGAAACGTTCACCTGTTCTGAGTGCGGCCAATGTTTTGCCGAGAGAGCCGAGTTCATCTCACACTGGAGAAGTCATACAATGCAGAAGACCTATCCGTGTCCCAAATGCTGGAGATCCTTCAACGAGAGAGCAAAGCTGATGGTGCACGCAAGCAGTCACAAACAAGAGAAGCCATTGTCCTGCACCCAATGTGGCCTGTGTTTCAGCGACCAGTCCTACCTTCTCAGCCATCAGAAGGTTCACACGGGAGACATATTGTCTTGCGACGAATGCGGCGACATATTCACGGAGGAATCCTACCTCCTCCGGCATCAGAAGGTGCACACTGGCAAAAAAATCTATTCCTGTTCGGAGTGCGGCCGGTGTTTTCCCATGGAGTCCAATCTTATTAAACATAAACTAGTCCACTCGGGGGAGAAGCCCTACACCTGCCACAAGTGTGGGAAAAGCTTTAGAGAGAGGCGCAGCCTTTGGGCCCACCGCTTTCAACACCAGAAGCGTTTTTCCTGCCTGGCGTGCGGGAAGTGCTTCGTATCCAATTACGCTGTCCTCCGACACCAACGGGTTCACACGGGGGAGCGTCCGTTTACATGTTCCGAATGCGGCAGGAGCTTTTCGTACCAATCCTGCCTCAGGACGCACTGTAAGAAGCATTCGGGGGTAGAGTTGAAGCCGTACACCTGCTCAGAATGCGGCCAGGATTTCAGTCGCAAGTCGGACCTCTTCAGCCACAAGAGGTTCCACGTGGCCGAGGAGCCCCACAAGTGCTCGGAGTGCGGGAGATGTTTCGTAAGCAAGAAGATCTTACAGAGGCACCAGAGCAACGTTACCGATGAGACGAGTATGTTCACGTGTTCTGAGTGCGGAAAGTCCTTCCCGTGGAGGGGCTGCCTCATCTACCACAAGAGCGAACATAACAACTGGAAGCCAAGGAGATGATAGGACGGGGTGGGGTGGGAGGGACACGCATGTGGTTTTGCCTGTTTTTCAGGAATATCTGTGATTTTTCACCTAAAACTGTCAATAATATCAGTTTTTTGAGACAGGAGATGCTTTTGTGACGTCTATCTCTGATTGGATCCTACTGCTACCCCTTCCATTCCTAGTCTAAGTGCAGGGAATGGGTGGCTGATACCGAAACAGATTCGGCTAATTGCCCCATGGGCCTTTACCCACTTGAGTACCGGCCCGTATACACCCCTTCAGTACACGTAACACCATTCATGCGGGTCCTCGTCCTACACAGGGGCACGCAACACTCACATAATATGGCCAGTCCAATGACACTACCTGTGTGTTGGGGTGGGAGAAGGCTGGAACACTTGGAGAAACCCCATGCAGACATGGCTACAGCTTTCAAACTCCAAGCAGATATCACCCCGGTCACCCCAGAGCTGCAAAGCGTGTATACTAACCTCTGAGCAACCATAGTGACAATAGCTGCACTATAGGTCATATCAGGGCAGTAGAAAGGGCCTCGCCGGGGGCGCAGCCAGGGCTGTGCCCCCTCACCCCTGTTGCAATGGCGAGCCATAGAAACAGGGGCGCCAGGCGGCCAACACAGAGCGCCAGGGAGTAGAATGACAGCCTGCAGCTTCTCGGATTGCCCCACGTGACAGGGTACTGTATGGGCAGAGGCAGCGGGGATCCGAGGAGAAATGAAGCGATGAAGCCAATAGTAGGGCGTAGAAGGGAGCCGTCTTCCAGGATGGCCGAGCGGTGAGGAGAGAGCCACTTGGCCAGGATCCGACAGCTGGCGTCTCTCTCTCCTCACCGCTCGGCCATCCTAAAGTGACAGCGCTCCCTCCTCCGTCCCCCCTCTGCCGGCTTCAGCGCTTCATTTCTCCTTGGATCCCAGCTGCTTCAGCCCATATAGGCGGGGGAGAGCAGCGGCGACCTGAGCAGAAGCTGCAGGCTATGCCGCCACTCTGTGAATGGCTGAGCGACTCAGGATGGAGAGCGAAAGATCGGGAAATATCTGTAAAATGTTCCGATCCTCTGTGTGCAGAGCAAACACTGGACTGATCAGGTACTATGTGTCCCCAGTTATGTCCCCCAGGGCAGTACCCGGACCCCCATACATGTCCCCCAGGGCAATACCCGGACCCCCATACATGTCCCCCAGGGCAGTACCCGGACCCCCATACATGTCCCCCAGGGCAGCACCCAGATCCACCAGACATGCCCCCCATGGCAGTACCCGGATCCTCCATACATGTTCCCCAGAGCAGTACCCAGATCCACCATACATGTCCCCCAGGGCAGTACCCGGACCCCCATACATGTCCCCCAGGGCCGTACCCGGATCCCCATACATGTCCCCCAGAGCTGTACCCAGATCCACCATACATGTCCCTCAGGGCAGTACCCGGATCCCCATACATGTCCCCCAGGGCCGTACCCGGATCCCCATACATGTCCCCCAGAGCTGTACCCAGATCCACCATACATGTCCCTCAGGGCAGTACCCGGATCCCCATACATGTCCCCCAGGGCCGTACCCGGAGCCCCATACATGTCCCCCAGGGCCATACCCAGATCCACCATACATGTCCCCCAGGGCCATACCCAGATCCACCATACATGTCCCTCAGGGCAGTACCCGGACCCCCATACATGTCCCATCCATACGTGCATTGCTTACAGCTCCCTCACGTGACCTGTACAGGTGCCTGGACCGGGGTGACATCACATTCTGGCTCCCGGCACCTCTACAGGGCCCGCAAGGGAGCCTTCACAAGCAATGCACATATGGATGGAGCTCCAGCACAGCAGCCCACACTGGACCCCAGGCTCCAGTTCTCATAAGGTAGGGAGACTGGGTGGACTTTAAAACATTTTTAATTGAACATTATTTGGAGTGTGTATGAGAATGTGTCTGTTGCTGTGCATCTATGTCAGTGTTTTTGAGGGCCAGTTCACACTCGCACAGTCTATTAATCGCGTAGTACCATGTCATTAACGCACTGTACCACGCAATCGCACCTACCGTGCATTCTGGTGTGGGAGGCGTGTTGCAGTGCCACCCACCCACAGTTCGTACGCCTGCACCGGAACGCGCGGTACCCTAATGCTATACGTTCCATCGCAGTGCGACTTGGGTCGTGACTTAATGGCCGATGACAAATGTGGGTCCTGAGGTCACACAAGTTGAGGAGCACTGATCTAACGTGACATCTAAAATGTGAGTAACCCATGAAGACTATACTCTAGAGCATGTGGTTCTCAACCCGTGTGACCTCGGGACCCACATTTTTTCCTCGGCCATTAAGTCGCGACCCAATTCACACTGCCACAGAAAACACTGCATTAGCGTTCCGATGCGGGGGGCGTACGAACTGTGGGTGGGAGGTGCGTTTGGGGTACCATTCAAATGAATGGCAACTAAAGACACCTCCGACACCAGAATGCACGGTAGCTGTGATTGCGTGGTACAGTGCGTTAATCGCACAGGACTGCGCCATTATTGCGCTGTACTAGAGTGAACGGGCCCTCAAAAACACTGACAGACACACACAACCACAGACACAATCTCACACACTCCAAACATTTTTTTATGTATTTTTTTTTTCTCCCTGGGGTCCAGTGTGGGCTGCGGTGCTGTGACGGATCTCCATCCATATGTTCATTGCTTGTACATCTCCCTTGCACGCCCTGTAGGGGAACGGCCCGGTACATGGCTTTCTGACTGAACGGATGCGAAGCTCGGTCTGGCTGGAGGGTTGGCGGCGGCAGAAGCCTGTGGTGTGGTGCCCCCTGGGGGTGGCGTCCCAGGGGTGCATCAGAAAATCACTAGGGTGTGGGACCCCACACCATATTGCATTTTTCTGCACTCCGCCTCCGTGACAGGCCTTATGGCTAGTCCGGGGCAATATTTTTGCACTCCGGCCCCTAAGGCCTGTCAGCGTGGTGCACTGGCACTTTACATTTATGCACGATTGGCACTTTTTTATTTTACATTTTGACCCACAGATTGCTGAGGGTGCGGGTACCTTCGGGGCCCATTCCCGATGTGTGTGGGGGGGGGGAGATTATATAGGGTTCTCTGTCTCCTCCCACCCAGGGGGTCTCTCTTCGGGAGAGCCCCCCCACCCAGTACTGTGAGGGACCTGTTTCGGCAGGTCCCCAAAGGATCGGGGTCCACCGGCCTTCGGGTTGGTGGACCAACAGACTCAACCCCTCAAGCCCCGGGGGGTTGTGGTCCCTTCTTTATTGAAGGACCAAGCACCCATGTGCACGTTTTTGTGTGCTGTGATTTCACGGTTCACTTTTTTTGTTCACAGGGGTTTGTTATCGATGCACGTTCCACGGGCTTCAAAAATCTCTTGCACGCCCTGTAGAGGAGCCGGGAGACAGACTGTGATGTCACCATGGCACCTCTGTGGGACACGTGAGAGAGCTGTAAGCAATGCACGTATGGATGGAGTTCTCACGGCCATAGCCCCAGCCTGCCCCACTCCAAGCTGACACTCGGCACTAGGCAGCATATTTTGAATGGCTGCCTGGCACGAGAACGCACAGTGCTGCGCTACGGGGAGGCAGAGGAGCCTCTGGCCTAGAAAAGTCGAAGGCACTGAAAACGGGGTTGTGACCCACTTTTGGGTCACGACCCATCCGGTTGAGAACCAAGGACCTAGAGCAGCGGTTCTCAACCTGTGTAACCTCAGGACCTACATTTGTCCTTGGTCATTAAGTCGCGACCCACGTTGCACTGCACTGCACTGGAATGCACTGCATTTGGGTGCAGGCGATCGGACTGCGGGTGGGAGGTTCATTTGGGGTGTCATTCAAACGCAACGCACCTTCCACACCAGAACACGCATTGCGTGGTAGAGTGCATTCATCGCATGGGACTGAGTGATTAACGCGCTGTACTAGTGTGAACGGACCCTCAAAAACACTGACAGACACACACAACCACAGACACAATCTCACACACTCACAGACATTCTCACACATACACACTTTTTTAAGACCCACCTCTCCCTACCATATGGGAGAACTGGAGTGGATCCTCAGCCTGGGGTCCAGTGTGGGGTGCGGTGGTGTGCTGGAGCTCCATCCATATGTGCATTGCTTGTACAGCTCCCGTGCGTGCCCTGTAGAGGCGCCGGGAGCCAGAATGTGACGTCAGTGCAGTCCAGGCACCTTCACGGGGCACATGTGAGGGAGCTGTAAGCAAATGCATGTATGGATGGAGCTCCCTTATGGCCATACTTCCATCCCACCCCCACCTCAAGCTGACACGCAGGGCCATATTTTGAATAGCTGCAGGGCACAAAAACTAGGGGGAGGCTGAGGAGTCTCTCGTCTAGAAGGAAGGCATGTGGCGACCCACTGAACATAGGGTCGCGACCCACTTTTGGGCACGACCCTCCAGTTGAGAACCAAGGCTCTAGACCAGTGGTTCTCAACCTTTCTAGGGCCGGGACCCCTTGGTAACATTTGCCAAGTTGTGGTGACCCCCAACGGTAAAATTTAGGGTTGACACGGCTGCTGCAGCGACATCTGGCGGCGTGGCGGGAAAACTGACACTGCTGCGCTAGGAGGGGGCTGAGGAGGACTCTCAGCACAGCAGAAATCACACAGCGACCCACAGGTTGAGAACCACTGCTGTAACAGCTAAAATGGCAAACCATATAACACAAGCCGAGGGTGTCAGCTTTTATTATTAATAATAATAATGATGATAATCACTAGATGGGGACCTGATGGAGAACTGCAGGTCCCCCTCTGCTGATTGACAGCAGCAGTGGGCGGGTGCAATAGCTAGTTTGCTATTGCAAAGTGAAATAGCCAATAGGAATCTAGCTATGCATTCCTATGCTGATATATTTATTTTCTTCTGACTTAAGGCGGCCGGGGCTCCGATGTCAGAAATTATTTTTTTTTAAACGATCGCAGCGAAAGGTTTACTCTGCTCGATCGAGCAGATTAAA